GGCAGAGGAGACAAGGGTGAGGAGGGTGAGGTGGAAGTGAGAAGGGTGAGGCGAAAGAGAGAAGGGTGAGGCAGAGGAGACAAGGGTGAGGAGGGTGAGGTGGAAGTGAGAAGGGTGAGGCGGAAGAGAGAAGGGTGAGGCAGAGGAGACAAGGGTGAGGAGGGTGAGGCGGAAGTGAGAAGGGTGAGGAGGGTGAGGATGAAGAGAGAAGGGTGAGGCGAAAGAGAGAAGGGTGAGGCAGAGGAGACAAGGGTGAGGAGGGTGAGGTGGAAGTGAGAAGGGTGAGGCGGAAGAGAGAAGGGTGAGGCGGAAGAGAGAAGGGTGAGGCGGAAGGGAGAAGGGTGAGGTGGAAGAGAGAGGGGTGAGGCAGAGGAGACAAGGGTGAGGAGGGTGAGACGGAAGTGAGAAGGGTGAGGCGGAAGAGAGACGGGTGAGGTGAGTCAAGGGTAAGTTTTTCTCCACCCCCCCTACCATCATCCTAATCTCAGTTTCTCAGAGACTGAGCCGTTATGTTTCCATGACGCCATCCTAGATGTAGACTTTCCAGATTTCACAGTAGAACTGCTGTTAATGACCTGCTGACCACCAGGACGTTTCTAACCCTAACACTGGTCTCCAAGGCACTGATGCCAGCATCCCCGTCCACATCAACAACATCTGCCAGAGGAACTACGTGACGGTGGAGAACGGCCGCAGACTGAAGCCCACCAACCTCGGCATCGTCTTGGTGCACGGCTACCATAAGACAGGTACATCAGCTTCCTCAGTGGAGGGGTGGGGTGGTTTCACCCGCTGAATGCCTGGAGGAGGCTGGAGGCCTGTTTGTTTCTATTAAAACTCTTCAGTTTAATACATTGAATGATCAGAGTCTCTCCGACTATTAAACCAGGAGCCATATTGATTATTGGCCCCCAGGCTGGACCTTGAACACTCCCGTCTGTTTGTGCTGTCAGATGCTGAGCTGGTGCTGCCGACCATCCGGAGCGCCGTGGAGAAGCAGCTGAACCTCATCGCTCAGGGAAAGGCCAACTACCAGCAGGTGCTGCAGCACACGCTGGACATCTTCAAGAGGAAGTTCCACTACTTTGTGGACTCCATCACCAGTAAGTTCCTGCAGCTCTGACCGCATCCAGCCGTAAACGTCCACCTGGACGCGGCTCATCTGCGTGCTGTGTGCCGCAGGTATGGATGAACTGATGGAGGTCTCCTTCTCCCCCATCGCCGCCACTGGAAAGCCCCTCTCCCGCTGTGGGAAATGCCACCGCTTCATGAAGTACATCCAGGTGAGCGGTTCTGCTGCTGTTGATGAATGGGAGCCACAGTCTTGGGGTTTGAGCGCCCCCATCTGGTCAGCTCCTGTTCTCCGGTTAAGTTCATCCATGTTGGGAACCTTTTGACAGATTCAG